TGTGTGTGTGTGTGTGTGTGTGTGTGTGTGTGTGTGTGTGAGTATGTGTAGTTCATTTACACTGTAGGCCTATACATGTATTGTGTTATGAGTCTTATTTCCAAGTTACTGTACCTGTTATTCTTGAACACAGTAGACGAGAACAAAGTGTCTGGAAAGGACAATGAAGATTGTTGTTTTTATCATGAAATGGAATTTTCGTTATAACTACAGATCTACCCTTTTGAAGGGTGCATAGGAAGAAGAGGGAATGTCAACTTTTCACATTTTTGTGATAAGCTGAAAAGTGGATATCTCATAATGATGGACTTGTCCACACATAAATCTGACTGAAAAAAGGGGGGGAAGAGCCACCAGGTACGCCATGTTTAAAAATACCGTGTTCTATGCAAGAAATGAGAAAGTCAAACTGTACAATCGTTTGTTTTGTTTTTCTCAAATGTGAAAAACATTCCCTTTTCTTTTCCGATTTAGTTTTTGGTTGAACGAGACAGAAAAGTTTGTAGGGCATTGAAGGTGTTGTCTGTTGTATTTTGTTTCATAGGTTATCCTTTGCATCACAATAAGGTCAAATGAAAGATATTACAGGTAGTAGTGCAGTTATAAGATCACCCAGGTGGCCACGGGACTATGGATGCGGGGACTCATGTGTGCCCCTTGCAACTGGAATTACCGTTAGTTAAGATTCACATCCCTTGCATCACAGTGAGGTTATTTGAGAGTGGCCACCTCAAATTTCAACATCAGTCTGCCATAGAACATTGACTTCGTGTGAGCCAGGTATCAAAGCCCATTGAACCTCTGAAATTTTTTAAATTAATTTTTTTAATAATTTTTTTTTTAGGGGGGGGTTCTTATCGTGTCCTGTGGGATCTGAGCCAAGGAGGACCTTCTGCTCTGCAGGCGAGTGACTTAGCCATGAAATTTAGACTAGATTATGGAGATTTAGAACTTAATATTATGGAGATACGACATTTGCACTTTGGAGGCATTCAGTTCAATGTTTCAGAAAACTAGATTTTCTTAAAACAAAATCAGTTTCTCAATTCCACATGAAAACAGCAATCTGTGAAAAATTTTTTAGTTGAAACATTGATTATACACACAAACAATAGGTAACTGTTAGATGCATGAGTTGGTGATTGATTTGAATCTGGAGCCATCTCAAACTTTGAAGGCTTATTTCTCAAAACCGGAGAGCGTAGACATACGCCGACGATATAGGAAAGTAGTAACTTCATCATCATCATTGCCTTTCTCACCCTGCACCAGGGTATAGGCCACGGACAAACACCCCCACTTTTCTCTATCCTGGGCTAGCCTCTTGATGTTATTCCATGTCTTCCCACTTTTCTGCACATCGATTTCTGTGATTCTTCTCCAAGTTCCACGAGGTCCCTTGATCTCTTGCCCTGTGGGTTCCAATCCAAAACTTTCTTTGTTATGCAGCTGCCTGA